TTTTTTTTTTTTTTTTTTTTTTTTTTTTTTTTTTTTTTTTTTTTGTTATTACTAGTGGAGTTATATTGCTTTAAGTCTATTCTTATGAATTATAATTTCTTTATTGTTTTTATTACTATTTCCTATGCTATGCGGTATTAAAGTAAAATTGTTGTTCTTATCGATATTTTTAACTTTGTAGTATCCGTTATATCTATTTTCTAACTTATGGGAGGCCTCTTCTCTAACTAATACTAAATCTCCTATGTTTATTTCCTTACTGTAGCTACTTTTGTCATAATTTGTTTTTTGTTTTTCTTTAGCCTCTTCGACTAATTTCCTAGCTCTTTGCTGTGCTATTTGAAGTCTATATTTTACTTCTTTGTCGTAAGCTTCGTGATTATACAATGGGCTGATTTTATTTTCTTTTAGAAATTCGTAATTTGGTGGATTTTTTGCGAATATAAGTTCAAAAGGACAATATTTATGTGTGGTTGATGGCGTCGTATTGTAACAATACGCGAAATACGTGAGGTATTCGTCCCAATCATCTTTGTCGCTGGATATGTATGAACGTATATATTCATTGAATGTCCTGTGACTGCGTTCTACAGTACCCAAGGTTTGATGATGATACGGTGTTGAAGATTTATGCTCAATTTTCAACAGTTTACACAGTTCTTTGAATAAGTTATTTTTGTATTCTGTGCCTATGTCCGGCATGATTGTTTTCATGTGTCCATAAATCAAAATGAAATGCTCGAACACGGCTTTAGCGACTGTTGTTGCGTGTTTGCTTGGGACTGGGATCGCTACCAAGTATTTGGTTAGATCGCATATAATGGTAACTGCATATTCGTTTCCATTTATCGACTTCGGTAATGGTCCGACTGTATCGATTTGTACAATATCGAATACCTTCGGAGGTGTCTCCGTTATTGTCATTGGCTCCTTTATGTGCTTATTAGTTTTATTTTTCTTACAGTGGATGCAGTTCTTACGTATTTTCTTACGTCATTTTTCATATTTGGCCAGCTATATTTCTGCTTGATTTTATCTGTCATACGATTTATTCCTGGGTGACCACCACTAATAGGATCGTCATGATATTTATGCAGAATTTCCTTAATTTTCCCGGGATTTGTCACATATATAACCTCTGGGGTTAGTGCGATTGTTAGATTTTTGAGAACTTTATTACCCATTTCTATAAATTTGCCTACTGCAGTATAATTTCTTTTAAACAATTTGTCCCCTAAGGACAACTGTATTTGTACAAGTCCTAAATTGCCGGCTTCTCTTTCAAGCCTGGTAAAGAATTGTCCTAAGTCAATCTTATCCTCAACAATTAGGTTGCTTGTATCCAAAGTGCTACAAATTTTCTTTCCTTTTTTGAAATATAATTTCGGAGGAGTGAAAACGAGCTCGACATGTCTTTTTACTTCAAATTTATTTAGCGCTTCGTAAATTTTGGGGTTCTCTTTGTGACTTTCTTTATTTTCAGCATTACTGCTGGTCTGTTTCGCGCTGATCTTGTTATTTTTAATATTTTACTTGCTTCCACTGACATATCTTTTAAGTTTGTAATTGTTATGCGGGATAATGCGTCCGCAATATGATTTTCTTTTCCGGCTATATACTCCACTTCAAAATCGTACTCTTCTAAATCGAGTCTTACTCGTGTCAGCTTAGATGAAGGGCTCTTCATCGAGAATAGGTATGTTAAAGGACGATGGTCAGTTTTAACTAGACATTTTCTGCCATAAACATATGGTCTGAAGAAGGTTATGGCCGAATGGATTGCGGCCAATTCTTTTTCTATTGTGGCTTTGTTGTTTTCACCTTTGGTGAAGGACCTAGAAGCGTAAGCAATTGGTAACTGTTTGCCATTATGTTCCTGGCTGAGGACTGCCCCACAAGCGTACCCACTAGCGTCTGTTGTTATGCAGAATTCTTTAACGAAGTCTGGGTATTGCAAAAGTTTTGGACTAATTAATGCTTCCTTTAAATAGGCAAACGCTTTTTGACATTCTTCTGTCCATTCGAAGGAAACATTCTTTTTGCAAAGCCTAGTTAATTTTCGTGAGTGTTCTGCGAAATTCGGTACGAATCTTCTGTAATAGTTGCAGAAAGCTACGAATCTTTTAACTTCATCCGCTGTTTTTGGTGTTGGGTAATTTTGAACTGTTTCAAATTTGCTCGGGTCGGGTAATATTCCCTTGTTTGTACATTTATGTCCTAAATAAGTTACTTCTTGGCTGAAAAATAGGCATTTATCTGGATGTAATTTTAGGTTGAATTTTCTGCAAGTGGAGAAAACGTCTCTTAAATTTTTTAGCATGTGGTTTTTAGAACAACCTAATACAACTAAATCATCCATGTAGAGAAATGCTTGAGATGGCTTGAGGCCTGCAATGCTAGGGTCATCATACTTTGGAATGAATTCGGTGCTACTTTTAATCCGTAGGGTAGTCTTTTGAATCTATATGTGCCATTATCGGCTGTAAATGAGGTTATATCCCTGGAGTCGGGGTGTAATTCGATTTGATGAAAACCTGACATAAGGTCTAGGCATGAAAAATATTTTGCTCTTCCAAGTTGATCTAAAATATCGTCAATTCTTGGAAGTGGGAATTTGTCTGCTGCTAGCTTTTTATTTACCTGTCTGTAGTCTACCACTAATCTCCATCTTTTTTCTGTTTTACCTGGGAGTAAT